GGCTCCCTGCTCAGTGGGAAGCCTGCTTCTCCCTCTCCCACTCCCCCTGCTTCTGTTCCCTCTCTCGCTGTGCCTCTGTCAAATAAATAAAATCTTTAAAAAAGTATTTTATTTATTTGAGAGGGAGAGAGAGAGCGTGTGTGCACGAGGGGAGGAGGGGGAGAGGGAGAAGCAGACTCCCTGCTGAGCAGGGAGCCTGATGCATGGCTTGATCCCAGGACTCTGGGATCATGACACGAGCCGAAGGCAGACGCTTAACCAACTGAGCCACCCAGGAGCCACCCAGGAGCCTGATAACAGGAGACACATCACATAAATAACCAAGCACGGTGCTGGGACAACTGGTTATCCATATAAAAACAATGAAGTTGGACCTCTTCTTCATATCATACAAAAAAAAAATGAGGATCTGAATAGACATTTCTCCAAAGATACGCAAATGGCCAATAAGCACATGAAAAGTTGCCCAACATCATGAGCTATCACAGAAATGCAAATCAGAACCACATTAAGATGCCACTTGAAAGCCAGTAAGATGGCTATAATAAAAAGATAGTAAGTGTTTACAGGGATGTGAAGAAATTGCAATCTTCATATACTGCTGGTGGGAGTACAGCCACTTTGGAAAAAGTCTAGCAGTTCATCACAAGGTTAAACATACCGTATGACAGGGGTGCCTGAGTGGCTCAGTTGGTTAAGCATCTGCCTTTGGCTCAGGTCGTGATCTCAAGGTCCTGGGACTGAGTCCTGCATCAGGCTCCCTGCACAGCGGGGAGTCTGCTTCTCCCTATCACTCTGTCCTCCCCCTCCCTTGTGCTCTCTTTCTGTCTCAAATAAATAAATAAAATCTTTAAAAAAACAAAAAACATACCATATGATAAAGATATGAAAAACAACCACATGACTCAGCAATTCCACTCTTAGGTATATGCCCAAGAGGAATGAAAACTATGTCCACAAAAAACTTGGATGCAAATGTTTATAGTAGCATTATTCATAATAGCTAAAAAGTAGAACCCAAATGTTCATCAACTGATAAATGATAAATAAAATGTGGTATTTCCATAGAACAGAGTATTATTTAGCAATAAAAAGGAACGACATTCTGATACATGCTACAACCCAGATGAACTCTGAAAATGTTATGCTAAGGGAAGTCAGTCACAAAGACTAAATATTGTATGATTCCATTTATGTGAATGTCCAAAATAGAAATAGAAAGTACACTTGTAGTTGTCTAAGAGCATAGGATTAGGGAAAATACAAAGTGCCAATGGGTAGAGGGTTTCTTTCTTGGAGTACTGACAATGTTCTAAAGTTGATGTAACGGTTGCACAACTTTGTGAGTAGATTAAAAAACCACTTAATTGCTGGGGTGCCTGGGTGGTTCAGTTGGTTGGGCTTTTGACTCTTGATTTCAGCTTGGGTCATGATTTTGGGATCATGGGATCAAGCCCCCTGTCAGGCTCTACCCTCAGCGGGGACTCCACTTGGGATTCTCTCCCTGTGCCCCATCCCCTGCTCATGTGTGCATTCTGTCTTTCTAAAATAAATAAATCAACTCCCCCCACCCCCCCCCCCAAAAAACCAGGGACACCTGGGTGGTACAGTTGGTGAAACGTCTAACTCTTGGTTTCAGCTCAGGTCGTGATCTCAGAGTCGTAAGATTGAGCCTGGTGTTGGTTCTGCACTCAGCATGGAGTCTACTTGTGATTCTCTCTCCCTCTTCCTCTGCCCCTCCTGCTCGGGCTGTCTCTAAAATAAATAAATCTTAAAAAAAAAAAAACAAACCCGCTGAATTGTATACTTTAAATGGGTGAATTATATGAGAATTAGATCTCAATAAAGCCGTCACTAATTAAAAAGAGAAGCAAGGAGGTTATGTAAAGAGAATAGGCCTTGAAGTTAGACTTGAACTTGAATTGGGGCTGTACTTTTCTAGCTGTGAGTCCCCAAGTTTCAGTTTCCTCAGGTATAATAAAAAGGGGGAGGGACGCCTGGGTGGCTCAGTCAGTTAAGTGTCTGCTTTCGGCTCAGGTCATGATCCCAGGGTACTGGGACTGAGACCCTTATCGGGCTTCCTGCTCAGCCGGGAGCCCTGCTTCTCCCTTTGCCTGCTGCTCCCCCTACTTGTGCTTTCTCTCTAATAAATAAATAAAAATCTTTAAAAGTAAATAAATAAATAAATAATAAAAAGGGGGAGAACACCTAACTCCCTACAGAGTTGTTATGAGCATAAGATAGTAGGTGCTCAAAAAATAGGTTTCCTTCGTTATAAACAATATTTCTTAACACCAGTGAAATCTCAAAATACAGTTTCCAGGCCAACAGCATCACCACTGAGGCACTTGTTAAAAATACTAATTCGCAGGTTCCACCTCAGAACTACTGAATCAGAAACTCTGGGGGAACGGACCCAACAATCTATCTTAACAAGTCTTCCAGGTGACTAATGCGTGCTCAAGTTTAGAACTACTGCTTTACATCAAGAATGTAAAGGAAACTATGAGACCAGTTACTGTAGAACAGTAGTTTTCAAGCTTTTTGTCTCGGGACCCTCTCAAAAAATTATGAGGATCCCCAATAGCTTTTGTTTACATGGATATGGATATTGTTATTTACTATATTAGAAATTAAAACTAGGATATCACACAAACCAATCACATTAACATAAATAACACCGGAAAGGCATACATACCTAGTTTTATTGTGCTCACCACATGATACGTTTTTCGGTGTTTTTTTTTTTTTTTTTAAATGAAGATTTGTGGCAACCCAGCACTGATCAAGTCTATTGGCGCCGTTCTTCCAACAGCATTTGTTCACCTCCTGTCTCTGTGTCACATTTAGGGAATTCTCACAACATTTCAAACTTTTTCATCATTATATTTTTTATAGTGATCTGTCAACAAGATCTTTGATGTTACTAAGTTACTTGTTATAACTGTTTTGGGCCCAACAAACCTCACCCATGTAAGATGGCAAACTTAATCGATAAATGTGTGTGTTCTAACAGTTCTACCAATTGGCCGAGTCCCCCTCCTTAGTCCTCCCTATTCCCTGAGACAAAATAATATTGAAATTAGGCCAATTAATAACAACTGCTCTAAGTGAAAGGAAGCGTCATTTCCAAAAGCTAGAAATGATTTAACTTAGTGAGGAAGGCATGTTAAAAGCGAAGGTAGGCCAAAAGCTAGGCCTCTTGTGCCAAACAGTTCGTCAAGTTATGAATGCAAAGGAAAACCTCTTGAAGAAATTCGAAGTGTTACTTCAGTGAGCACAGGAATGATAACACTAAACCGCTTTATTGCTGATAAGGAAAAAGTTTAAGTGGTCTGGATAGAAGATCAAGCCAGCCACAACATTCCCCTAAGCCAAAGCCTAATTCAGAGCAAGACCCTAACTCTCTTCAATTCTACGAAGGCTGAGAGAGGTGAGGAACCTGTGAAGAAAAGTCTGAAGCTAGACACTGGTTCATGTGGTTTAAGAAGCTGTCTCCATAATGTAAAAGGGCAAGGTAAAGCAGCAAGTGCTGATGTAGAAGCTACAGCTAGTTACCCAGAAGACCTAGCTAAGATAATTAACAAAGGCGGCTATACTAAACAGCAGATTTTCAATGTAGATAAAACAGCTTTATATTTGAAGAAGTTGCCATCTAAGACTTTCATAGCTAAAGAGAAGAAAGCAATGCCTGGCTTCAAAGCCTTAAAGAAGAGGCTGACACTATGTTAGGGACAAATGCAGCTGGTGACTTTATGGTGAAGCTAATGTTCATCATTTTACTATTCCAAAGGTCCCAGGG